TATATATATATGACGACGTACTCTTCGTTGACGGGCACGACCAAGTACTTGGTGTTGAACACATCGATGGATTTCGTCCACCTCGCCACAGACGCATATGCTTGCTCGACGTTGGACAATGCGACCTATATATATATATATAATATTTAATGTCAGCAAATGATATATATATATTCGTTTGCACCTTTCTCAAAGCTTGCTTTTTCGTGACCAAGTACTGCCCAAATAGAAACGAACTGCACATGTACGTCCTCTCCACGGCTGGGGTAGGCAGCGTGTCCATGAGGTAGCTAATTTACCCAAACAATATATTTCATCAACATATATATTCTTTTGTGTCCATTTCGACGAGTTCGTATATATATATATAATTATCAAGTAATATATCTTTGGGGATCTACCTCAAGTAAAACTCAATCACCGAGTCATTCAAGAGGCGATGGCCACACAGTCGCGACGTGTCGCCATACGTGAGCACTACCCATCCCTACAACACATTCAAATGAGTGCCAGAAGTATATCCTTTATACGATATATATATATATATATATATGAACCATAGTGAATAAATAGTACCTTGGAGCGCTTCTTATAGTACGTATATTGCACCTTGTCGTCCACAAGTGTCAACGAAGTCGCGTGGAAGTACCCGTCGCCATATGACAGCTGCACCTTATACGAGTAGTTTGATGGTACGGTTGCTTTGTTCATTGATCTTTTGATTGGCAGTCTATATAACAACAGCCATGACCATGTATTTCGCACAACCCCCAAGTATCGGCAACAGATAATATATATATATAAGACAGTATCTATTGTATATATCCATTCCAAAGTGCTCTATGTGACCGTCAACCCAACAAATATATATATATAATATACATGGTCTATTCGATTCGAAAATGGAGTGCTGGTCCAAAATAAATCGAAAGAGAATGGATGATCGACCAATCAAAACCCACAACACGAATCCAACGGCCAATCAAAACAATATTATCCATTCCATATCCAAGCAGTGTGACACTTAAAATCGTGTAATTGGCTTCTCAAATATTACATACTAAATTCACAGTACAACAAACCATCGATCGATGGATTTGTTGTCAATCTATCAGCACCAAACTCGATATTTTCATCCCAATCATAACGACGTAGGACGTACGACGAGGTAGTAGTACTACTAGTAGTAGTAGTAGTGGGGAGTGCGACAATGAGTCCGATGCCAAACGGTGTCGACACGACTTTGTCCAGTTCAAATCCCTCGGATGTTAGTTCAAGTCGACTGGGTGGACGAGGTACTATTTCCGCCTCCGAAGCGTCGGAATCATCTAAGACGACGACTGGTGCTGCCACGTGTTTGATAGGTTGTTTGGGCACTCGAGTACTTTGGCGAGTGGATGTGGGCTGCTTCTTTGAGAGGGTCGAAGAAGAACAAGATGGGATGTCCTTGTACGCGAGGGTATGGGGGGGAGAAGTGGCGGACGAGCAGTAGTGCTTGACAAGGTATTGCTGCGCGGATATACTGAGCTCTGTTTGGACGATGTCGATGCCCAGTTCCTGATCATCCATACAAAAAAAAAACACAAAAGTCATATATATATACAGAGAAATAATTGCATACAAGCTGGAGGGTGTTGTGGTAGAAGGAAAAACGTGGCTTTATATGGAAATGTTAATATATATATATATATCCATCGGCATTATATATGTATATATGCACTGTCATAATGAAGTTGATGTGGTATGGGTATACAGTATATATATATATATATATATAGAAAAACATGGCTGCATATGTAAATGATTATATATATATTTATATAGCCA